TGGAGACCCAGATACGCTGCAATTCTCATTGCACATATGTGATTCCTTCAAGAGCTTGGTGTCACACTACAAAGGCTCTAGAAAGCAATGTCCTCTGGAATCTGTTTTTTCCCTTAGAAAATAAGAGACAGAGCACTTACCTTCCTCTTAGGAGAACTGCAAAAGTAAATTTAATTAAGAAAAAAAGGGGTGTTGCAAGCCAAAAAATGAACTCAAAGAGCAGATCAATAACCCAATGCAATTAATGCATATGAAAATCCAGAATAACCCTCAGAAAAACTCAGAGTTATAGTGTATCTTTCCAGTACTTCAGTGAGTCACCCAGAAAAAATGCTATGGTGTGAGGATGCTTGCATCTTCACAGATATAGATGTTATATTTAGAGTATAGGAACTATTATACTGAAACCTTTGAATGTGGGGTGATACTTTGGACTTTGAAATTTAGTGTTTTGAGCTATCACCTTGACAACAGCTTAACTGATTGATAAAGTAACAGCTTGAAGCTATTACAGTACCTACAACAGTACCCTGGCCCTTAAGCACTGTATTAACATAAACAATTTCTAGTCTTACTTTGTGTCTATTATGATATAAAAGATACTTAATCTCAGTGGGAAAATAAGAAATTAGAGGGCCCTTTGACTTAAAAAAATATAGATGGTCTTACATCACATTCAGACAAATGTATGGAGAATGTACATATGTGCATTTATGATGGCATAATTTTTTAAAAAATCAAAACAGTAAGCATTTAAACATAGGTCTTTCCTTCCATTGTACAGACTGTCTGACAATGAGTCAAACGTGCTCCATGAACAGGCTTATGAGTTTGTTGGTTTGTATTGCTTTACAAGTGAAATTCAGCCCTTTCAAAGCACTTGCCTCTGAAATGTCTACCAGCACACTGCTCTTCTCCAGGACCCTACTGGCGTTTCATAGTACTTACAAGGGAAAACTCAAACACTTACACAATATGCTTTATCAACATATAAATATTTTTTCTTCTCATGTAAGGCTATAATATCACCCTTTCCTGGCTAAGGGCCCCATTTACTGCACTGCTAGTTTCAGCTGCTGTAACATCAACTATTAAATACAGGAAAAATCCCTTATGATTTTTCTGTATTACTTTTCAGAAGAGGGGAAGACCTATGGGCTAGATACACATAACATGAAATTTAAGCAAAGTGTGGAAATTAAGGTTTTTTTTCAACAAACTATACTACTCTAGAGACAGATTTTATCATGTCCAGCTTGCTTTGAATTATATCATCTTCCCTATACTCATAGACTACAGTACCAAACCATGACATTCCGAAAACATTTGCAAGAAATTTCTTCTGGAGGTCAGAGAGTAACTGAGTCCAGCATGAAATAGTGATGTGCTATAAGCATGACAAGTGCATTTTATCTACTCCCTTATGCTGATACACAGAAATATACAAAAGGTAGAAGGAGACCCTAGAAGTTGCAAGCCAAATATGTGTCTTTCAAATACACATCAGACTGTAGCATCATCCCTTGTTTAACACAACTAAACTGGATACTCAGACTTTTTATTCCTTCTGCAGATTGAAATTATTTAACCACTGTAGGCTTTGTGTTTGGTTTTGTTCTTCTTCTTTACCAGACTACTTTAATTTGCTGATGTTTTTCTAGAAGTGAGGTGCCTGCCTTAGGATAGCATACTTAGGACAGGAATATTAGGCCATGCAGAGGACTAATGAGCTTCCTGGACTGACACTGAACAACCCGCATTAAAACCAGGCTGTAACTGAGAATAGCCATTTCCCTGCCTCATTTGCATAATTTACACATTATCTTGCAGGACTGAACACTGGGTAGATGATTTCAAAGTTTCAGGATAAGCCTTAAGAAGTGATGCATCCAAACTCTAGCATATGCAGAATGTGATTTTAAACATGCCCTCATGTTGAAAATACTCAGCTCACTATTTGTAAATGCTATTTGATGCAATACTCTGTACAATCAGCATATTTCCACTTTTTCTCATTCCACACAGGGAGGTCAGGCTAGATGCATTTTATTGAAGTGGGTCCACTGCATTATTCAAAAACAGACCCTGATTCTTCCCATCTCTGACATTATCCTCTCAGCCCCAACTCAATGCTCAAAACAAGATGTGACAACAGGGCCTATCCAGTAGCAGCAAAGGTCATGTGTTTGCAATTACAACCCACTGCAAATGCTTTGGATACCAAATGTTCCAAGCAGTGTAAGCTTAAAACCTGCAGCCAGCGGGCTAAGATGGTCATGGGATCTGCCAGCACTACCTGCCTTGTTGAGCTGGGTTGCGAGTTTTGTCTGGGTCTGAGCTGTCGATTGCTGTCTGCCTCAAGCTCCCAACAACTTTAACATCTACAATTAGAAAAATAGTATAGGTATGCTTTTACCTGTGCTAACTTTGGTGGTGAATTTGGGTGGTAGGATGCTTGCCTCAGGAAGAGTGCCATCAAGAGGATGGAAAAAGCCTCTTTCTCACATGCTTATCCATATATTTACTGCTGATCTGTAGCATCCCTTGCATTTAGGGAGCAGGCCTTTGTCTAGGAGAGACTTCCAGCTAAATAGGATGGTATGAACAGCAGAGAAGCCACCACCAACTGACAAACTCACTTCCATTTATAGCTTTATTTTTCTCAGTTCAGGTCCTGGAGGTCATCATCATGGTTATTATGATTCCTTGAGTCCCCTCAGTCCCCGAGCAAAGGCTAATCCACATACATCGTCAGAGGTGGTCCTTGACAGGTGATCTTAAAACCATAAGGCATGCCAAGTGTGGGAGGCATAAAGAGACACTTCTTCCACTTTACACATGAGCAACTGCAGCAGAAGGATGTCAAGTGATTTATTCCTGGATAAGAAGCTGGGATATTAATGCAAGTGCTTTCCACTCAATAGTACCTTTACAAAAAAAGGTACACATGGTGTTCCTAAACCCATGCACTCACAGCTTCACAGCTAATTTAGAAAGCCTGCATAGTCAGCTTCATCACAACAAATTCTCATGGATTATCCATAGGTTCCCACCCAGAAGATTTAAAAAAAAAATAAGAAAGAAAGAAAAAAATGCCACTACTTGAACTTTTTCCTCTGACTTTTCAAATTATAACTCTCAAGGAGCAAAAAAAGCCAATGAGAAATGAAAGTGTTTTTCTGTCACGAGATTTCAGTGTCAAGCTGTGTGCTAAGCCACAGTGATATACTAAAATAAACAAAACTGTTTCTTTCAGAGTCCAGAGAAATTAATATGATGAAAAATATTTTTGGAAGACTTTTCTGTGCAGTGAGTAAGACTTCCACACAGTTGACCTTAGTCTCCATGTGTTGGTAGGTCCATTAGGCCAACACTACATCACACTCATATTCCAGGGACAGGCTGTTAGAAGCATTTCCTTAGGGACAGCTGCAACCCAAGGAGTCTCCTTCTGTCTTGGCCTTTGTCTCTTGCATTTCTGCAAAGCCCTACTGGGGCCCGCTTCAGATTCCTATCTGACAGTCAGTCAGTAATGAACATACAGCAGACTAATTGGAAACACAGAGCAAGTGTTACAGGTTAGCCAGCTAGTGGAACTTCGGCCCCTTTTTTTTCCCCCCTTTTTCTCCTTTTCTTTTTTATTTCTTTTTATTTTACTTTTTTTTTTTTTAATTTCCCACTCCCATGATCAATTATTTGCTTCCTGGAGATCACCAATAGCAGCTGCAGGGGTTGGTAGGAGAGAAGAATAAGACTCCCAGAGACTTCTAAACAGCTGGAATTATCAGGTAATTTGATGCCCTTGTCTAGGTTTTAATCAGATTTTGCAAATATCCCTCTCAAGCTGAAATCTCTCTACAACATCAAGCGCTGCAATCTGTGGCTAGCTGCACTCAGGTCCACCTCAGTAAAATTCTCCTTTTCTCCTACTCCTGCAAAATAAACAGCAGGCACAGACAACAACTTAGAAATCCTGTAATGGACAAAGAAGTAGGAGTGTATAAAAATGTTCTCCCTGGTTCCAACTAAGACTCCCCTCAGCAGAACCTAAACCACAAAACTTTTAACAGGTCTAAAATGAGACACGGTTATCTCAATACATGGCTGTTTCCTAACATTTGTCCAACACAAAGCCTTGAGGGTTAGTCTGTGCTATTTTCCCAATACTCACCCAAAATTTGACCTCTCTCACATTTGGATAGTTATTCCTTGCTCAGCATACCATGACACAGCCTCTCTCCTCCTCTATCTGTCCCAGACTCTTTCCTTACAAACCACAAATAAACCATACCTAGACTTCCTTCCTTGCAAGCCAAAACCAAGCTCTCCTGGACTCCCTTCTCCTTCTACAAGCCTGCTCTTCTGTTCTGCACCTCAGCAGGCAGCTTTACCTCCTTTCTTGCTGGCCTCTCTAGTGCATTAAGCTCTTTTACAATTCTTTGAAAATTTTAACAGCCCTTTAGGATCCCTGAAAACATTCTTAACTATCTTTGGGTACAGGAGTACACTGACATACAAGCTGGCCTATATCATTCAACATAAACTTCATATTACTGACAGAATAACTTCAGAATAAACTAAAAGAATTCTAATTGAAAATGGGGTATGTAATCTGCTAGGTATTTCAAGTCAAAGCTTCCCCGCTCAACCTGAATCCTTTACGAGAATAATTTTCCCAAGCCTCTCCCTCAAGAGGTGTGTGGTTTGTGTTAGAGTTTACTTAAAAGCAGAGACTTGGAATCAAACCCTGGCAAACACAGTTACACTTCTTTATTTTATTATTTAAAACTGTTTTTTTGTTGGTTTGGGGTTTTTATTTCTGTCAACTGCTTCAATAGTTTTAAATAGCATGTCACAATTTATAATGCTACCGAGTTTCTATCCAAAAAGTTACTATGAGGTAGTAGAGCTCAATATGCTTTCTCACAGATTAAAGGACACTTCCTTTAATGTTTCAAGGAATCAGAAGGTGAGGAAGAGCTTGGTGTGCTCACACTCACCCTTTTGTTGTTCTCTTCTTCTTGTGCCTTCCTGAACTCGTGCTCTAGGGAGCAGTCGATGTCGTTGAAGAGGCCGACTTCCTCACAGTTCTTCAGAAACCGTGTTGGTGTAGGGGTCTGATCTGAGAACAGGACAAGAAATGATCATTGGTGCTTAATATTAAAAGGAGGGGGATATAATCAAATACTCTTCCAGGAAAAGAGAGGTTCTAACCAAACTTCTCTTTGCCTTCCCACCCCTTTCTACCACACCATCATCAAAAAACCCACACAGCGCTGAATTTCGGCACTAAAGGCTGCAGGCAGCCAGGGCTTGCCATCGATGTCCAAAACCAGGCAGCAGTCATCATTTGGGCAGGAAGACAACAGCATGGGTTTTCCCAGGGCACATAACACAAGTGCATCTCCTTAACATGTGCAAATGGTCATTAGAGCTCTCTGTAAACCTCCAAAAATAGGTGCATGCAGAACAACGCACAGTACATCTTAAAATGCACATTTAGACCACAGCACACATGTTAACTGCTATGGATACACACTAGTCAAAGCCTTCAAGTGCTCAAATACCACCTCAAACATGTGTATACTTAGCAAAAAAAGAAATAGCCATAGCAAGAAGTTCTGCTTCCAACACAATTTTGAAGGAAGAGTTAAACAACTTTTAGAAAAGCTATGTAAAGTGAAATTCTGACCATGAAGAAGCATCCTTTCGCATTTTATACCTGAAAGTGTTCATAATACATAATACATACAAAACCATGAAATTTGGAGACAAAAAAATTGTAATGCCTTCATCTCTAGGATTTTTCTGCTCTCTCAGAATTAATATAAGAAGAGCAGTATTCTCTTTAATGTCACAGAAGAAGGGACTGAAGAAATTACAAATTTTTCTGATACCTTTTCAAAAACCTGCAAGACAGACAAGCTAAATTGCCATGAAGACTTTAGTTTCAGTGATGACCTTGGCTGGTCTTTCTTCAGGAAATGAAAAATCAAGCCTGAATTTGGGAACCAAAGACTCCCCAAAACACAGGTCTGAGGCACCTCTATTCATTCTGAGGCTAGTTCTTAATTATTCCACCTTGGCTCCTTCTTCTCAAAACTCTGTTCCAGCTGGAGATGCTTTGTACCTGATTTTACAGAAAGATTGGACTCACTTTGTTAAAAAATAATCTTCAGCATAGTCCTTGACAAGCACCCATTGTTTGTATTTCATTCTTTAAAGAACAAAAACTCTGTCATGTTAAACCCTATTCCCCATGTTGGGTCAATTCTGAGCTCAGAAAAAAGATCCCCACTTCAGCGAATGAAAATTTGGTTTCTTGTACCTAGCTAATCTGGGACAAGTTCTAATATTACCCCCGTACAGCAAACAGTTACCTGACACAATGAATTTTACATGATCAAGACAGAAATGCACATCAGCCCTTAATTAAGCACTGCAAAAGCAAGGCATACCAAAGAAAATGCAGTTTTCTCTTGGAAACTAAGGAAGAGGATCAGCCTCCTCCACTATAAAGCCAAGAGTAGTCAATTTCCACCTGTATCAAGCATGGCCCTCCAGGTTTGACTGTCTCAGGCAATCCAAGGGCAAAGACACTCATTTGCATTTATATTTCTGATGGAACATCAGAATGCAAGTCCTTAGTATTAAAATTATTTTTTCATTTATTTTGGCTTGAGCATCCTACCTACGAGCTTAAAGGAAACAAACTTTAAGTATTTGGGAATGCACGCTTATTTATCTATTGGCTTTCACAACTAACTACTGTATTACCAGAGCTAGAGACATGACTTTCTAAGAATCCTGCAAGAATGAGTCGACAAGGTGCTGGCATTGATGGGAGCTGAGGACACTCAGCACTTTACAGTTCCATACCCTAAATAAGCAGTGCCAAACAAATTTGTAGAGTAATCTCAGTAAACTCAGTAGATTTAAACCAGGGTTGATTTTGGCCCTTGGGCTGGAGCTCGTACTGGAAATGAAGTACGCTAAAATGCAGTAGAAATAAATCTAATTTCCAAAAAGGATTAAATGATACTTTAGTGAACATTTTCTACATTGTTTTGTAGAAAATCAAAGACAATTGTTGCTAAGCCTTCCTGGACACATTGGTATCTAAATGTGAAGTAAATAGAGGAAATGTTTTATTGTCAAAGTGGTATATCCATAAGCAAAGTTTCAGGGCCAGGATGAGTAAATATGGTTTCATGAAGAAGTTGATGCCACCACTTTCATTAGAATCAAAAATCCTGGGTTTCTTCAGAGTTGCTTGGGCCTAGAACTGACAAAAAACCCAAACAAACAACAAAGTAACAAAAAAAGAAGACGAACCTACAAAAAACAAAAATCCAGTCATCTCACTGAAATAAATCCATTTTAACAGTGGAAAAAAACAAGCCAGAGTAAGACTGTGACTTTAAATACACAAGGGCCTCAATGGCTTCTTTTCTCTGCTCCTGTTGAAAGTCTGTCTTCTGCACCACAGATAACCAATGGTATTGCCTACAGCTGAACTTTCCAATTAACTATTTTAATATCTCAGAAGATCAAAATTGATAATGACACTGTTTACACCACCTACATATTGAGATGGTGATCTTACTTTAATACCACAGTCTCCCTATACTGCTGCTGTAGTTCCTATGTTCCAGAAATCAGACTGGCAGGAATTCACATCAAGCTTTTTGTTAAAACAGACAGCCCCTCGTTTCTCCCAGCTGAGGAAGGAGCACCACCAACCAGCCAGCCTAAACTTCATCCACAGACCTCCTGGAAGACAGCTCAGTCAGATGTAAAACAAGACTTGCCTTTCTAGTTCTAATACTTCAGCCTTCAACATCCACAGAAACCAGAAGGCCACAAAGCCTCTGTTTCTATGATAGCAGAACTGGATAAAAATCCAGACTTTAAAATGTGGAGACTGTAGTAAAGTAGTTACACTGCACTCATTGGTTTCGGGATTTCAAGGCTATCAAGTCTAATGAGCTTGATTTGCTCCTGAGCAACCAACTATTTTGCCTCTGAAAAATACCAGTTCTCCTTTAGGATGTGGGCAAATTAGTAGAAGAAATTACTCTCAACACCACAGAAATTCTTTTACCTAGATTAGGAAAGCCTTTGTGTTTTAATTGGGAAGAGTATCACAAAGGAGACCCTAGCATAAGCTACAAAATCAGGTCTCCCAGAATTAATAAAATATTCCTAATTCTCAGCACTTAAAAATGCATAAATAGTTCCAACAGCTTGTGCCTGACCTCATTGTTCCCTGTTGGTACAAACAAAGCTTTTGTTGCTATCACCAGCGCCCACAACTATTGCAGACTCACTGAGAACCGGGCTCTGATTTGTTGCACTTCAGCAACTGGATGAGCCAGACCCATCTGGACCAAAACTCAGACAGAGCCAGCACCAGTCTCAGCATTCCTGCTGAGGACACACGTTGTGTAGGAAGCTGCTCTGCAGGCACACTGCTACTCACACAACCCAGGACTCTAATGTCAGAAAGTGTATTTTGTATTGGCAGCTTGGGATGCAGCATTATCTAAGTTAACCCAGGATACCTGCCTGTTATACTGATCAGCTATCCCAACCCAGTCCCATTGTTCAACATGTAAAAATCCATCCTCAACTGGTTCCATCCCCTAGAACTAGTTTACTGTCCTTTGAAGCATCTACCTCTAGCCATCTGTCACTTCATAGGTAAACTGGTCATCTGATAATTACTTAGGAAGTTTTTTTCTGTCTCAGGTTTATCACCAGCTTAAACACAGATTTTTCAAGCTTCAGACAAGGCAATGAAAATATTATTCAGCCTTTTACTCAGGGGAATGAAAAATCAGCCTCTCTGATGACACAGTGATGGCCAGAAAGGCTGCAAGAAACATTGAGTTTAAATAGGCCTCAAAAATGTAAATTGCACCAGAGCAAGCCCATATATATATATATTTTGGTTAGTGACTTTTGAACACTTGACCTCAGCATCTGAAGTGATACCTGATTTTTCAGACTCATAAGAGAAATATATGTGGTAAGGCAATGGGGAACTTGAAGTCTCCAGTAAAGTCAAAAGATTCCATTATGTACTCATGATGTTTGGCAATGCATGGGCCTTTCTTTGTTGTTGTTACTTTGGGGGTGTGGGGATTGAAAAAATAGTCTCAGAAAGGACACTCAGTCTCAATACATTGTTTTCAAAACATCAGCTCAGGAAACACAACATTAGCTTGCTATACAGAAATTTACTTGATCCAGAATGTGTTTTGTAAAACTACTTTGAATTCCTGAGTTTCATCCATCAAAGCACAAAAAGAAGCTTTAAAGCATGCTATGAGTTTAAAAAAGCCCTGGAGAACCAAAGGACAGTTATGTGAAACAAGCTTTCATTTTGAGAAAAAAAAAAATTAAAATTCTGATTTGGTAAAAGATACCTAACAGCACAGCTCCAAAGTGTGTAACTTGATTCTTCATTTTTTTTAAAAAAAAAAAAAAAATTGTTTAGTCTGATGTGCAGTAATAATAGACATTTGGCTTGTTCAGCTGTGGGCTCTGTTGAAGTTATACACTTACCCGTGTTGTACTTTCATACAATGATAACAAAGTCAGAGTAATGGGGCTAGCACAGAAATTTGAAGGGCCACCCATCAGGCAGTCACAAAGACAGAGAAATGTCCTGAGAAATTCAGAAAGGTTTCTTCATTGATTTCACAGGTTTCTACCCAAGTGCACTGAGGAGCTCAACATCATAACGCATCAACCAGGTGGAGAAAGAGGAGAGGAAGAAGTGCACTCAAACATAGGTGGTGAAACTTCTCACACCCAGATGAAGGCTACCAACAACTCTACTGCCTAAATATGTACTCTTTAAAGCACTGGCTGGAATTTCCTGGAGGGGTACACATACTGGGTACAACTAATTTTTAAAGTCTTCTGGTCTCTCTGAAACTGACCAGTATATGTAAAAAAAATGTTTCATTACATTTTTCATAAAGCAAGTGACACAGAAGCAAACAAGAAAACAAACTAACTACAGTATGAGTCCTTATACCAAATCATTTTGCACACTTCAAAATTCATGCCTAGATAAACCTCTCTGTGTAAACTACATGGAGGAAAAAATTAAGGCAACCAAGGGTGATGTAAATTACCTCACTGACAAAGGCATTACCTGGGAAAATGAATACATTTGCACTACCTTTATTACAGGCACTTTTTCCATCTAAGGAAAACTGTTTCTACTTCCACAGTGGGCTTTATCACCAAAACTCTAGAAGACTTGGTTTCAATAAATAGAACGAGGAAGGAAAAGAGGTTTCTATGTAGATAATCCTCCCAAAAGTTCAGCTCCACAGGGCTTTTAGTATTTCCCTGGAGGAAACAATCTATTCCACATACATTAATATTTTGCTGTTTAAACACAAAAGCTTTGTCACACAACAAAATGTAGAGTTTCAAAGCAATGCAAACACTGTTCACTCAGCACAACAGCAAAGAGTTGATATCTCTTTCAGTCAATTTAACTATAAAGTGGCCTGCAGTGGCGACTAGCATGCAAAACTTACATAAGATATTCTGTGTTATCTCAAACAGTTCTTTTTTAGCTGGAAAGATGGAAATGGAAAACATCAATAACTCTCTATCCATATTCTTAACAAGACTTTCTAACAAACAAAAAAAAATACATACAACAAAGAGGAACAACTAGCAGTAATTTAAAAAGACAGAATTATGTTGTAAAGTTGTGCAACAAAAGCATCATATCTTATGCAATGGCTCTAGTGGATTTTCCTTCCATTTATACAGTCGGAGAATAGAAAACTCTATGGTGTACATGGGTATCTGGAGTTTCTGAATTGGTTCATGAGATTATTTCACCAGATTTAATATATGTAAATTATATAATATATTGACCCTGCCTACATAACAGCATGTATTTAATGTGTGTAAAATACTAATGATATTACAGTGAACCCAGACTGGGGATTAAGCTACCTCTGTAAACAGAGTAGATAATTCTGAAGTCTACCTGAAAGCATACAGTGTGTTGTTTTTCATGATTAATTTCTAATAATAAATGGATAATTCACAACAATTAAAAGATAGTATACAACATACTGAAAAAAAAAAAAAAAAGGAAGTCTGACTTCTAGCTTAGGAGAAAGAGGGGGAAAAAAACTAACACTGCACCTGGCTTATTACAGGGCAATTGCTGCTGCAATTCTTTGAACCTACTGATGACAGGAACAATTTTTTTAAAAAGTCAAATAAGCAAAAATACAAAAAACAAGGAAGGCATGAAGACAAATGTCTATGAGAAAAGCCTGTCTCTTTTTCCCATATATCATTAATTTTTCATTTTGAAATCTAAGAATAAAACATCTTAAACTTTAAGGTATTTAGATTTCCCCAGGGTTTCAGTGGGTAATGAAACAACTATTTTTCAATGTCTTCCTTCAGAGAGTAGATGATCTATGATGCTTCCTGAGTAAGGACTGCAAAATGCCAAACAAATCCAGCAAGCAAACACAAAAAGAGGAATCAATACACAGCAGAACCAAGCTGCCAGGCCATTACAGTCAGGAACACTGGCCATAGTCTTTGGTGTGGCTTTTGACTCTTTCACTACTACAGAGGATCATCACAGACAAACCTCAAAGAATACATCCCTTAGAAGCAATCTCGGAGTCTTTCAGGCCAGAAAATTCTGCATTAGTATGTAGAGTTGGCTAACTGCAGGTTTAGGGAGCCCAGTACCATTGGTAGTGCTGGAAGACAGTCATTCTATTTGCTTGGGAAAGCGACCCACTGGAAGGAGCAGGACGTCTAAACCATAGAGGTTACCAAACACAAATGGAGCTACACTCCTGATGACAGAATAGATTCCTTAGAAACTGCACTCAAACAAAAGTCATGCCAAATAGAAAGTTTTAACAAAAGCCAGCACTTGCACAGGGTGAATGTGCCCACAGCACAGATGTCTTTGAGCAGTTTCACTGCCAAAGGACACAGCCAAATGCAAAAGCAGCTTTTTTTCATTTGTGCTTGCAAACACAGGATTCTGTGGGCATAGCTGGCATTCAGGCACTTTACAAGAACTACTCTTCAAAATGCTGGGTACTGTTTCTTTCTAAACTTAGTCCACTATGGCATTTTAAAATGTAAAAGCAAGATAAATTCTATTTGGGAAAAAGGCTGTCTAACTTCTCATTGGTGCCCAAAGTCCCAACAAAAAACAAAAAAAGATCTAAATATTCGCAAGCCATTGTTACTTCATTGTGATCTTCATAAAAATGGAAACAGCTTAACCATAAAAGAGATAGTCTGCTGGAGTCCCTTTAATGAAAATATATTTGCATCTGAAATTGAACAAATTACCGTGAAGAAGCCCATTGCAAAAGACAAATATCACTCATATATCAGCACTGCTGAACATCCACACACACATTTGCATCATAGGGGGGTTTTCTACCATTACTTTGAAACCTGAAAAATTCTAGAGAGACTATTCTAAATAGTCCATTACTATAGCCTAAAGAATAAACAATAGGAAAAGGAATAGGAGAGGAAAGAAGTAAAATGAAGGGCTAGCTTGACATTACCCAGCACTGGCTGAAGGCCAACAAGCCATTGATATGTGGCACAGGAAAGAGCACATAAAGACTACATAAGAAATACACTGTTCAAGAAATTACAGGGTGCAATTGCACCTAATACCAAATAACCCCTGTTTATGCAGGGGGAGGTGCAGAGATGGGGAAAGAGTACTGGGTATCACCCACTGGTTTACCTTTCTGGTTACAGCTATTTGCAGTGGGCAGTTCCTGAGTCACCACACAGGTGGCTCATACAATGTGGCCCCTTCCAGTTGCTGAAGTGAGTCTGTCCAGCTCAAATAGCAAGACTTACAGCAACAGCACAAAGGCACTTCATTAACACTCTCACTGCTGGGCTCCCGAGTGCCATGCACTTAAGTGCCTGTATTTCACGTGGAATCAATGATAGAGCTGCCAGCATGCCAGGGGTTCTGTGATTTCTTTCCCTCTCCTGGCAAACATATGAAGGCAGAAGAATGGCAACTGTCTTTTTGTTCAAAGAGATGTGCTCTAGGTTAATCCATCTCAACTTGCTATTTAATTGGAGCTGGGGCTTTTTAAAACCAATCTTGGAGTCATTTTGCCAGTAGCATTCCAATAGGAGTCATGCTTTCAACATCATCTGAATAGTTATCTTGACTCTTGAATTCATGTCTTCTTACCTGATAACATATTATCTGTTTTTATTGAAGGAAACTTCAAAGTCATTTCATGTTTGTGCCTGTGAATCATCAGATGATCCTCTGTTGGAAAACGCTGTCAGGCAAACACAGAAAGAGAGAGAGGAAGAGAGAAAAAAAAAAAAAAAGAAAAAAAGAAGAATTTAATTCTCTAATAAACTTTTGGCATTGGACAGAATTTCAAAAATGAGAGAGAGAAAGAAATTTATCCAGCTAGAAATGTGTCCAAATGGCACAGGAAACAGAATATTTGAAAATACAAGTGAGTATGAGTAACAAATAGCTGAACTCAATTTAGAAACACATTTGCTGCCGTGTTCTCTGGGATGACAAACCTTAAGGTGTCATGCAACTGCTTGAAAAAAAATTACAGCCCAAGTTTTAGATTCTAAGGGTCTCAGACACCCACTGTAGCTACCACAGCCTCACAAGTCACCACGTGCCTGAGGATCTGCAGTAACTGCTGTTCTGTGTGCTCTTAGCCCACGGCAAATGCTAAGTAATGAGGCAAATCTTAAATCACTTTACTGGATTTTTCTGCTTTTGTGTCTTTCTGCAACATATATCTGATGAACAGCTATAAAAATAACTAAACAAGCCAGCTTTTCTCTACCCAAAAGTACTCAGGAAAAACACGTCTTTAGTTTTGGAAATATCTGATACTTTGACTTGATTGGAGGTGGCAATGAAATGGTGCACAGTTTGATAGCAACTAGTTATGACCCTTTATTAAATCAAATTCTTCCCCTTTGTCAAGCAGAGAAGGTGGAGATGTTTTTTGTAAGAACCTAATCAGTGTGCTAAGTTTGTTTTACAATCTGATTACAGACTTTTACAAGAAATAGCTTCTTTTGAACAAAACAAAGTTGAGTAAATGTTCAAGCGCTTGCACATTTGGGCTCAAACAGCAGAACGGTTGTGTGAAGTTTCCTCCACCAGAATGGGCACACACAGACCTTTGCTACTGAGATTATTTCAACTGGGTTATTTCAGGACTATCAAAAGCCAAAAGTTGTATCACCAAGGCTTGAGGGGAAAAAAATAACTAAAAGCAGCTTTTTAAAGCAACAGGTACACAGGAGACAAAAAAATGGCAACAGAGCTAAAGGGACCTAACACTTTCAACACAGTGTACTCTTGGCTAAGTGGCTTTGCTTGTGGCTATAGTATAAATAATTGCCTTATGTTACACCTTCTGAGATCTCTCTAAGCCCATAGACAAAGCAGCATAAATAATGGAATTGAATTCTCTGGGGGGAAAAGATTAAAAAAAAAAAAAAGAAAAATAAAGACATCCCAAAGACCTTTTCCTCACTGTGAAATCCTGGTTCACCACTTACTCATCTGGAAGAAATGCACCACTAGGAATTTATGTTAAGAACAAAGGGAATATCTGAGAAAAACTTAGCTCAATGAAATTGTGAAGGGGGAAAAATACCCCACATTTATTTCTCTTGGAAGTGGGCTTTCCTTCATGGATGCCATGCTCTCTCTTCACAATGAAATCAGCTGACTTAAACAGGGTGTGAGGAAACTGTTCCTCCAGCCCAGACTTCTCTGTCTTTTTTCTAAATCTCCTTTCTTCCTTGTGCAGTTCCATCGACTCCATCAGCCCTTAGCACACATCTGCACTGGCCAAGAGAGAAGCCAGTCTCCAGCCAGCTTAGCTGGACAGCAGCTCTGCATTATGCACTTATGTCAAGTCCTCCTTTATAACAAACAGAGATCATGTTGGGAAACGGGAAGTTCAACGTTTTTTAAGATGGAAGTCACGCCTACACTGTTGATCTTTCTGAATTGTAACAGCATGCAATCAAACTTGATCTCTGAACACCTAAAAGAGCTTGTCTGGATCAGCTTCTCCTCCACTGAGGAAATTAATTAGGAATTGATGTGAGAACACTCAAATCCACTTATTTCAGTGGAATTTAGTTTCATCAAAAAGGTAAAGAAATCATGACAATTAAACTCAGATACTTTTATTCTACCTCTGTGACAGAATGGTGGAAGTTTAACTCTGCATGTGGAAATCTACAGGAACATATTCTCAGCTTGAGAATATACATCCAAAAGATGCAAGCTGCCTCACATAGAAAAACTCCCACTTAGTGAAACAGCAAAGCCATTCAGCCAGCTGTTAACTGGACTGGAGGCTTCTGCCTCTCTTTATTTCAGCTCTTGGCAAAATCAACACCTACACTCAACAGTCACCCATCCCTCTGCCAAGAACCTAAAGAGTTGTAAACATATTAGCCAGCTGAAAACTCACAACATAGAGTTGAAACAGGGAAGGATTCACTAATTAAGAGAGAAGGACTCTGGGAAATGGATAAGCTGTATCACTTGACATAGATGCACAAAGGAAGCCTGTGGCAAAAGCCCAGAAGATGCCCTTGTCTGAAGATTTTACTCACAAACTCTTGTTACTAAAACAAATTAGGGTCAGAAGTGCCACACATGGAACTTCTCTCATCACTGCAGGTGGGGGAACTTCCCTCACTACTGCAAAATCACTGAAAAAACCACACAAACCCCAGTTCAAATCTCAGCAGGTAAAATCCTTGTCACTTCAGGGTTTTTTTAAGCTCATTAAACATCTGATGTTACAGGTCAGGTTTTGCCCTTGGAGACATATGGCAGAGCACCATAGTGCTCTAGGACAGGACAGGAATCTCAAATGCACACCCTGGGGCAAAATTTATCTACAGGCTGAATTTTCAATGGAAAATATTTAGTGGGAAGGCGTCTTAAAGATTAAAAATAAATAAATAATAAATAAAGATCAGCTAATAAGATCATTGCATTTAAGTATTTAAAACAAAACAAAACAAAACAAAACCAAAAAAAAAAAACCAAAAAACAAAAAACCAAAAAAAAAAACCCAGGAGGGTTACTGGCTCCAATAGCAATGTAATATATTCCATCATAGATCTCAGCAGAAGGCAAATAAATGTGTTCTGCCTAGTGTGACCTCTTTTGTTAGTCCCTAAAGGAATCTGCAATACATGGCTTGAAACATTAGGCTTTGAGATGAGAAAAGGCACAGAAGCAGCTTGAGGAGCACTTGTACCAACTCACTTTTGACTGGCTGTTGTATTTGCTAGAAATATTTTGTAATAATGTCTTGTGGGAAAGGAGAGAATTGAGGGGAAGCAGGTCTTAAAAAAAAAAAAACCACACAAAAAAACCCCTGACACACATATTATTATTAGACATGTGTTAATATATCAGGAGGCATTATACAAGCCAGAGCTAGTGCTGAGGACTCAATTAATACCACCGCTGACTCCACTCACCTGTGAGCAGCCTGGGGCACTGCAGACAAAAGGCCTCTCCTGCTCCAAGTTCATCTTTGATTCCTCATAAATCTACATGTTAAAAGGGGGAGGGGGAAAGAAAGGGAACCTATGAATATATACGTTCTAAACTTGACACATGCATGCAACACACAGAAATCGCAGTTTTTGCTTTCATTTCGAACTCCGCAAACAGATCAGAGCAAAGTTTTCATACTCAGACTACTAATTTTCCTAATATTCAGCAGGCTCCCTACAGTCTAAGTTCTTATTGCTCCTTCCTGAGCAATTGACTTCTAAGAAAGAAAAAACAGTTCAGCTTTCACAGCATAAATCTGCCTCACAAAATAGCATATGTTCACTGTTGCTATTAGATAAGACCGTGTCTTCTCAGAAATATCTTGAATTAAAGGTTTTTACCTTTCCTCCTTCAGTTCCTGCTGAACAACATTAAAACCAGACATCTAGATTACTTCTGAGAAAGAGCCCACTTTTTGAAGTTCTGCATCCATTCTGTCTGATATTAATAACTTAAATACATGACATACATGGTCTCTATACACACAATGTAACTGTCCATCCCCATCCTTTAAAAGCTCAACTAGAGCCTCAGGAGCTTCAGCAGTCAAGTACTGTCTAAAAGTGCACCTCCCTGTAGCAGTTCCAGTCCTGTAACCTTGAACTAAAAGGTTTACCCTGGGGAAAAAAAGCTCCTAAGTCTTAAATAAAGGAGAGGATGAGACATTCACCCTCAGAATGCAGTTATGCAGCTGAATTTGGGTCAATATTAGGGCAGTGTCCCTGAGCAGGGGGAAAAAAAAAAAAAAAAAAAAAAAAATTAGTAAAATTCTAGGGAGTAAAATAAATCATTTATTTTGGAAATGTTTTCAGCCTGTTGGAACTGTTTTTACCAGCTAGAACGTAGTGGCTGACCCGTCTTGAAGCAGATGAGTTATGTTGAGAGATTCCCTGAAATCTCTTAAAACTCAGCCTCGCCACAGCCTCTCTTAGAAAAATGTCAGGGTTGTGTTTGGGTAATTTTTTCATGAACCAAAGAGAAATAACTTGGTGGAGAAACAGAATTTGATTTTAAAGCAAATTTACCTGTCCTGCAGAGGGACAGGTGGTAAAGTTGCTCAAACCCACTGAATTTTTTTCAAACTACAGTTCATTGCTTCCTATCATCAGGAGCATCTTTAGCATGCTTACAGTTGATAGTGTAATTCACCATTAACCTGCACATCAGCCAGACCCGTACTTGCAGTAATTATTTTCACTGGATAATAACATTTTCTTTTTAATTAAACTTCATTCTGGTGGACAACATTAGCCTGGCAGTATATTTTCCTAATTGTGACATAAAAAACTCCACTCTGTCCGACTCCACTGACACCTAGAAGCAGAATCCAGAAGTGAAGGATTTCTACTTTGATTTGCCCCTCAGCCTCCACAAGGACACTACTCCCAAAAGTAGAAAATAAGCATCAACTGATCTTCCTCATATGGGCATCTCTACCAACATCTGGCCTGACATAAGTGATTTATAATACAATCAGGTGTCAAGAAAGACCCTAACTCAGGCATAACTTATGTATCCACACAAGGCTAGAACTGAAATAACTAAAATTGTACCTAATTTACTCCTTTAAGATTATTCATATCCTGTTTTGATTTAACTTACAGCTATGTTAAACTGAAATAGGATACTCATAATCAGAAATGAAAGAGTATATTGGCATACTAAAATAACTAAAGGTGTTAAATTACTTCTAATTTCAGTTATTTCAGTTCCAGACTGTGCATAGACAAGCTCTTCACAGATGAAACCATAAAAATACTCTGAATTACACTATCCTGTCTGAAAGAAACAAGCAGCAGAGAGATAACTGACTAGAAAAACAAACCCCCGCAAAAAACAAAACCAAAACTTCCAGCTAAGTTAGATTTTTAAATCCACCTCTATTTATGGGATGTGACCCCAGGCATGTTGTCTTTCCTAAAGACAACTTTTTCCTTTACACAGAAAGAAAAAAAAAAAAAAGAAGCTATGCAGAGATAATGAAAGGCTTTATTTAATATCTCAATTGCTCCTGCAACTGAAGCACTGCCAAAGATTTCTGTTACCCCTTTTTCCCCTCCTCAGGGGACAGTGACAACAGCATTTTCAATAGCAAAACAACAGATGAGACTCAGCTAAAGAAAACAAGATAGTTACAATTCTGGTCCCAAGTGTCCAAGTGAATTTCAAAACATTACCAGGAATTATTTGGAGTTTGATTTGTTATTGAGTATTGCAAATCTAAGACTTCCCTCCCCATCCTGAGCTTGACCTTTAGTCCCCAAATCCATCAGTGCATGCTCTGATAACAATTAAGTGATTCTCAAGGTTATCTAGGTTGATAAGCGTGGACTAAGTACCAAAATAACATACTAGGTGAGGATTAGAGTCCTGAGTGCAGGAATCAGCTCCAGGAAATGGACTATAAGAAAACACAGATTTGGTGTTTACTCTCAGTACCTGGAAAAGGCATCAGACTCAACAGCAAATTGTTTTCCCCAAATGTACAAGCAATTGCTTGTTTCCATGAGAATCATTCTTTGCAGACACTGAACATAAAACAAGTAATAATCCAGAATGGCTGTATTACCTGCACTCCAAGGTGCTGTCTAGCAGAACTTGACCTATATAACCTGTTAGCAGGCAGTAGAGTGCCCCCAAGACAAATTGCACCGTGCAGAACTGGTGTTTACACGTGATGCAATCACTGCAGTCGAGACTGTGGTACCATTGCTCTTACAACAGTAAATGACTGGAAGAAGCTGCCTGCTGCTTACACTTCTTGCAAGTGTCTGGTGCTTGGTTATCATACAGCAGTGCCTCCAGCATTATGCTTGAATGTTGACCAGAAACAAGCAGCTGAAAGTCTGGGCTGTGAGTGTGACTGAGCCTCCTGCATGCCTCAATCCCAATGAACTCTGCAAAAGCTGTGCATGCACCAGCACCACCGGGCCTCACCCAGGTTTGCAGCAAGATGGGGGCTCTCAGCAACAGAGGTGTTCTGGCTGTGCACAGCACAGCTTGCACAGCATCCTTCTCGGGATGCAGGCACGCATCTCCCACCCCTCAGCTCAGACAGCTGCACACAGCCTCTGGCACACACTCCTCTTCACGCGTCTCACGTGTGTTGCTGGGCCACATCATCCCCATCTTCTTTCTTCCACACTGTGCACAGGTGAAGGAAGGAAATAACACAACCAGTGGCAACATTTTGACTTCACCTAATAAAGATATATCACAGCAGCCTTTCCATCTACATTAGGGTGCTTATTAGCCTTTGGGATCTTGAAACTTCAAGTTACACTTGTGCAACTCTTGTTGCTACCAATAACGGCTGCAATTAATGCACATGAAGAATATCAGACAAATCTATGATGACTGTAAAGTTAAAAAATTGCTCCAGTCTGAATTTCTGCTTCTGTTATCAATAGCTTAATTTATTGCAGATTTGTGACTTTTTTGAAGAAACAATCAAGGATTATAAATAAAAGTGAATGCTATTATTGATATGTCAGCATTAGTTCTGATATTATTAACAATAGCCATGAGTATATAATCCAGCAGAAAAGGGGGCTGAATTTTAATAGACATGTTAACAACATCTGTCAGCATTTATTGCCCTACTGTGACCACGTAAAGAGCCTTATTGGCAGAAAGTGTAAGTGAGGAAATCTGCTATGCTGTTGTAGCCTGCCATTCTCCTGAAATAGCACTCTGCTCAGGAGAAGGTATTCTAAAATTATAAAAAGAAATAAATAAAAATACAAGAGAAAGAAAAAGACTTCTCCAAGTCATGTCACGTGGTAGAGAACCAAGTTATGCAGCAAGCCAAGATTTTCTTATACTCCTTAATTTTTGCGTAAGAGTCTTCTAAAAAGTTTTTATTATAATTAATAAAACTGAAGCCTGGAGTGAGGAATGCAAGAACATAACAAAGAAACAAAAGCAAACAGAAGAAACAAAACCACCCTCAGAACACAGCAACAAACTACATCTCCTCTCAGCAGCATCCAGAGGGAAGTACCCCATGTCCTCAGACTCCTCAAGGAGATTTCACAGAGCCCCAGGATCACCTTTTCTGAACCAGAAAAACTGTTCTTACATCTAAGACTAAGAAAGCATGCTCCTTTCTGTCTCTTTCTCCCCCTTTTTAAACTCAGCAGTAATCTTACTGCCATACTGGTAAAAACATCAAGCAGGCTTGTTTCCTGTTTCAATGTTATTCTTGAAGTGGGCTGCAGTAAGAATCTGATTTTCATTGGGCTATTATTATTTGCAGCTGTGTGACCTTTTTAACCCTCTTTTAAAAGTGACATTTCAGCCTTCAACCTCAAGCTGTCTAAATGTTGCAGGGTTTTCAGGCCTCTGATTAACAGAGGAAAAAGAACCAACGGGGAGGTGTATACCACAATGTGTCTAATGCAGGTCAGCGCACCCATCCTGCCATTTGCACAAGTGAGTAATTACACTCTTATAAGCAACCTGTTTGTTGAAATTAATCACCTGGGTTCATGCTTGCAGGACAGGTTTCTTCAGCCTGGTGTGACCAAGGTCACTGAGATTTCCAAATACAGGAATACACGGTCTCTAGTGTTGGCAGCGGTATGCAGAGACATGAGCAATAAATGAAGCATCACCTATTTTTTAGGGTCACGGGCACAATGTTTAAAAAGTGAGAGGAGACATGGTTACACTGCACTTGTAAATTGCAAAGAACCCCATCGGTGTAGGCAGCATTTTGAGCTGCTAGTCATGGCTGCTCAGTACAGTGCTATTTACAGATAATTAGAGCGTTATTAGAAATGCTATTAGGACTTGTTGGTTTTGGAAGTGTAATACAGGCAGGGTTAATGCCTACAGTTATTCCCAATACACACTTGCTTGAGCAAAGCCAATTTTAGGCAGTATTGTGCTGGAACGGTGCACGGTGGTTTTTCTCAGCGTGGGCTCTTCAGTGGAAGCGCTTGTTTTCTGAACTAGCACCACGCTTTGCACACGCAGGCATACAG